GGGCGCTTTCTTTGGCCGGGGGTGGGATCTTTCGGGTAACTAGATGGTCGTGGCCTACGTTCGCCTCCGTTTTGGCTGTACAGCCTTCTTCTGCCACCTCGTCGCGCAACTAGCAAGAGCGCAAAAAGAGTGACCGTTCGCAGTTCAAGTGGTACCGTCACAGCGAAGAGAGCCATGTGCTAACATGTTCGCAGTCAGCTCTGTGCGCAAATGCAAGGGTTTTTCTTTTTCGTTGGTGTTGTTTTTCTTTCGAGCGTCCGCTCGGCGGTCTTGGGCAGTACTGCTCACTCAAGGTCACGCCCTTAGTTCGCAGTTATGTTTCATATTCCGTGCGATGCCGATCGCTCGTCTTTCGCAAGTTTGGTCACAGTTCTTCAAGCCACGGGGAACGCACCATACGTTCGCAAGCTGAGTTCTGCCGGGATAAAGTCCGCTAGGGACTTGGAGAATGCCCCAAGGTCGCAGATCCGAGCCATTATCGGAGACGTGGCCATGGATCGCCTTTTTCTTTCACAGCCAGCTCGAGCCCAGGTTCGCCACGACATCCCGGAAGTACATCCATACGCCAGAGGTTCGCTGCAGAGGATCGGCCTGGCACCAGGTCCCGAGAACGAGCGGGTGGTCGTGGACTTAGCTCAGGCAGATCGCGAGTTTCTTCAGGACCGTTTCGCTAAATCATCTCATGCACCACGCGAGAGTCGTTGGGTGACATGGACCCTTATGGCCGCAAAGCGACAGATGTCGCCGCTTCCAGTGACTGTGGAATTGATTTTCGCGATAGGAGCATTGATGAAGGTTGGGCGGTACCGCTCTGCTGCCCAATATTTCGCTATTGCAAAATCGCGCCACATCGAAGCTGGTCACACATGGTCGCAGCAGCTCGACTTGGCCCGTGCACAGGCCATTCGTTCGATCACGCGAGGCATTGGTCCTGCAGCAACCAAGCTCAACATCTCTTTCGACAATGTTCGTTTGGACTTCAGTTTCGCTCTGACCAAGGCGTACACCGAAATGGAAGTGCCCATGTCGCTGAGGGTAAAAGAACCGTTCGCCACGGCGATTACGGCACTTTGGTTCCTTCTTCGGGGAATCGAGGTCGCAGGTGTGAAGGGCGAGGATGTTCGGTTCAATAGATCCGAGCGAGCTGTTACAGTTCGACTGCCAGTCAGCAAGACGGACCTCGAAGGCAAGGGTTGTGAGCGACGGCACGTTTGTATATGTTCGTTGGAACATGATTCACAATGCCCTTTCGCAGAAGACAGGGTCACGATGTTTATGGCTTTACAGAAGTGCAAGTGCAGTTCGGGGAGACACCCTTTGTGCGTGTTTCACGCTTTGCTGGAAATGGTCGTTCGCAGAAGGAAGTCGGGGTCGTACGACCCATCCCAGCCGCTTTTCGGTGATGGCCAGTCCGCAGTCTCCCAACGCCAGTTAACTCAGTTGGCGCGGATTTGTGCTTTCGTCCTGCATCAGGAGACGCTGTACGAGTGGTCGCCGACAGCTTTGGAGAAATGGTCACAACATTGCTTCCGCGTTTCTGGAGCTCAGCTTTTCGCGAGAGCAGGGGTACCCTTGCCAGTGATTCAAGTGATTGGTCGCTGGGGCTCCATGTCCGTGATGAGATACGTGCAAGACGCAATTTTCGTTCCAGACCAGACTGCTGCACAGGTTCGCTCGGCCCTTGCTTCCGCTTCGAGCTTAGCTAGCGCCTCTTCTTCGAGCCAACCTCAAACGCAAGGGGTTTCTGCTGACTCGGTCGAGTCAGTTGTTCGCCGAGTCGTTGCCGAGTGCTGGCAGAACAAGGCGGTTTTCGTGCATAATACGCGGACCAAGTTCGCTCACAAGCCGTGCGAGAATGAACAGGCTTTGCAGAGCTTCGACTGGGTGTCCGCATGTGGTCGCTGGCACTACGGTTCGTCTAATCATCTTCGTCACCCGTCAGTTTTGCCAGGTTTCTCCAGATGTGCTAATTGCTTTGCTGAGGAACAAGCGGTTCGCAGCTCTCAGGACCAGCAGCCAGTAGCTCCCCCTAGCGAAGAGTCCGGCGACTCCGAAAGTTCGAGTTCGAAGGCATGACGACGTCTTTGGCGAGTTCGCTCCCCAAGTTCGAGGACCTGGCCACCTCCGCGGGACTCGATAAACAAGTCATCGTGTTCCTTCGTGATCGCGGAGTCACAAGCTCGGGAGTCTTGTACCACCTGTTTTCAGAACGATCAAAGATTGGTCGCACCTTGGAGCCCCTCAAGGTCGGAGTGAAGATCGGCGAGAATACTCTCAAGATGGACGAGGTCGCCCTGGACGTGGCGACGGCCTCCCTCGAGCACATCGTCGACGAGATTGAGTTCGCGAGGGCAGCACAACTGCAACCTACAACGGCACCGCCTAGTTCGCAGCCTGCACAGAGTTCGCCCGCTACGTCGACGACAGATCCGTCGAAGGCTCCGAAAACGTTGCCCAAAGGATATTGGGCCAAGCGCATCAAGGACTTCGAAAGTTCGCAGATAGAGGGTCGCAACCGGGTTTTCCCGGTGCACCTTCTGGTCGGCGCGGAGGAGACGCTCGCCAGGATGGTCTTCGAGGCCGAGAGTTCGCGATTGTTCACTCCCGTTAAATTGGGAGAGGTGATCTCGTCCAGGAATTTCACGCCGAGTCGCCAAGTGAACCCGTTCGCGAAGACAGAGGACCGCTTCACGGAGGCTTTGTCGCTCGACCACAGTGGCGCCTTGGTTCGCAGGGACCGCCGCATCCCCGAGCCCCAGAAAGCCCTCACAGTCATTGACGCGCTCGAGGCAGTGAGATGGGCCATGATTTTCGCTCGGTGGGGGGAGGAGTTCGTCATCGGCCAGTTCGTGGACTTTTTCATCAACCTCGTTCGCAACAACCAGAACAAGATCCCCCAGATCCGCGAGTACTACCGCAAATCTTCTTGGGATCTGGCGATGCATCTTCGCGCAGAGGGTTCGTTCCAGGAGGGCGTCAACAAGATCATCACTAGCACGGAGCGCCACGACGCCCTTGCGAAGTGGATGCCTCCCGACGGCAAGGGCAAGGGCAAGGGCAAGGACGCTGACGGCAAGGGCAAGTCGAAGGACTGGCCCGGCAAAGGCAAGTTTCGCACACCTGCACCGTACACTCCGGCAGGCCCGAATCGCCCACCGTGCCGCCTGTTCGCCAACGGTTTTTGCAAGTACGGAGCTGCATGCAAGTTCAGTCACGCAGGTACCGGGACAGCCAATACGGCAACGCAGTCCGCTCAGGCGCAGCATCACCAGGGCTAGGGACAGCTCAGGGCGTCCGACAGCCGGGATCGGACCTTTGCCGTCCGGCAGTAGTTTCGCTTTCCCTCCCCAACCCCCTAAGTGTAGTCCCGACACCCCCCTAGTCTCAGGTAGCGCGTCCAGTTCGCAGCAGACTCCCACTCAGCTTTCCGTTTCGTCCAAGCACGACACCTTGCCGCGCCCGGTTGTCCCCCCTAGGTTCGGTTTAGTCCCCGCCCCCCCTAAGATAGGAGGAGTGGTCCCAGAAGTGCCCAAGCAGACTCCGGCACCCGCGAAGCCACTAGCCGCCACAGGTCGCCACGAGGTTACCAGCCAACCTCCGCAGTCTACTGGCAGCCAGCAGCCACCGTTCGCTCAGGCCGCGAACTCAGGACACAAGTCAGGCAAGGTCGCATTGCTTTCCTTTTTCGACGGCATCGGCAGTGCCCACCAGTCACTTCTTGACCTTCAGATTCGGCCGGTCGTATCGTGGTCATGGGAACTAGACGAAGATTGCCACAAGGTGGTTCGCTCTAGACATCCGGAGGTCATACAGCAAGGAGATGCGATGTCCGCAGATCCAGTCAAAGCGGCTGCAGCTTTACAAGAACAGTGCCCCGCATCGACATTCGTCCTGATCGCATGCGCACCGCCGTGCCCCGATTTTTCACAGATCAAAGGCGAGGCAGCGAAAGGGACAGCAGGTTCGGAGGGCCAGAAGTTCGCCAAGTGGGTCCACCAGTGGTGGAGACCGTTTAAGCAGACTTGCAAGCTCAAGTTCGCGCTGATCCTAGAGAACGTCGTCATGGCCAAAGAGACTCAAGCAGCACTTGACGACTTGTTGGGCACGAGATCGTTCGTCTGTGATGCAGCCACATTCGGGCTCGTGAGCCGCCCCAGATTATGGTGGTCGACACACATCGGGCCACCGGACCCAACAGCTACGGTCGCTCCACAAATTGCATCAGGAATGGCCCGCTGGCGCCGGTGGAACCGCCAGTGGGAGTTGGTGCCGTCAAGTTCGAGGTTCCCAAGGCAGGTCGCAACGTTGTGCAGGGTTGGGAAGTTTAGCGAGCAGGTCGAGTCGGGTTCTGTTCGCTTTCCGTGCTTGACCACGCCAGCGCCTACTTCGGAGGGTCGCCCTCCTCCTCCCAAGAGGAAGCGAGATGAGTCTCCAGAGACCTTGAGCCGATGGCGCAAGGATGGACAACAGTTCGCACCGTGGCAGTACCGGGCGTACGCCCTGGTCGAAGAAAAGGGCAAGCTCGGCACTCCATCGTCGGCGGTTCGCGAATTTCTCCACGATTTTCCGGAAGGATATACCAAAGCAGCCCCCGAAAGGTCGCGATGCAAACAAATGGGGAACTCGTGGCACCTGCCAACTAGCAGGTTTCTTCTGTTCGTGATCCTGCTCGCCGCCAAGGTCGTCGAGGTGACTTCCCAACACGCTCGCCAGTGGTACGACGAGAAGCCTTTTCCGACGTTCGAGCTCCGGTACCATCCCGATGGGTCGCGGCCGTTTCTCCGGGCATGTTCATGGTGGCGACGAAGTGGTTGCAAGTGGGATCCGAACGAACCCGAACAGGTTCGCCTTGCAGGTCCCTCCGACAACGAGTTGGCCCATGTCGCTTGGTCCACGTCGTTGACGTGGGAGGAAGCGTTCCCCGTCAACGTGAACCCTTGCCTCGAGTTCGCTTTTCAGCAACAAGAACGCATGGGACCGAAGCTCAACCAATGGCGAAGCGAGGTAGTCGACGACATCTCAAAGTTCGTGGACGAGCTGGAGAGCGAGCAAGTTGAGTGGATGTCGTCGGCACCGCCCCACGTCCAGGAGGTCTACAAGCAAGGCACGACCAAGTTCGCCGTGAAGTTGCTCGCGTTCGCACATTTGCTGTACCTCCTCGAGTTTCCGGAGTGGCAGGACTTGGTCAGCGAGCTCTTTTGGGGTTTCAAGCTGCTTGGGTCGTTACCGCCGGGGAGCGAATGGCTCTTGCGACAGGACAGCAAGTACTCCTCACCCTGGTCCAGAGAACAGTTCGTTTCTTTCAACAAAGCACATGCTTCGCGACTTCTCGCCTCCTCAAGCGTCGATGAGCACTCGGCCGCAATCAAGAAAGAAGTTCTCGTAGAAAAAGAAAAAGCGAGGTTCGCAGGCCCATTCTCAGACGAGTGGCTGCGTCAACAAGCTTCCGATCACCAGGTCTTCGTCGCCAAGGCCTTCCCCGTGGTTCAAGGAGACAAAGTTCGCAGAGCAGATGATTGGCTCAGGAGTGGCCATAACGCTACAGTATGGGCCTCGGACTGTCCGCCGTATCAAGGGACGCCCACAGTCGCATCTATGGTGAGGAGAGCAGCCACAACCTGTCGACCTACGCTGTCGGCGGTCGACCACGAAGGCGCTTACAGGAACTTTCCAGTTCGAAACCCGAAGGAATGCGCTACCAGAAGAAAGCGGCAGCGATCGGGTCTGGCTTCACCAGGTCCTTCCTTTCGGATCTTCCGGATCAGTATGGGGATACATTCGTTTCGCCGATGCAGTTTGCTTCTTGTCGATTTCGCTTCTCAACATAGCAGCCGCTCATTTCGTGGACGACTTCTACAAGTGCGAGTCCGAAACAACGGCCACACCTTCGTTCGCATCCTTCCAGAAGCTCCACCGCATCATCGGCACGAAGATGAAGGAGGCGAAGGCCAAACCCCCAGCGAAGTCACAGACCTTGCTGGGGGTCGAATGGAAGATCACTGACAAGTACTTGTTCGCTTCGCCAGGCAAGCACCGCATCGACAAGCTGTCCGAGCAAATCAGCCAGATCTTATCAGCCGACCTTTTGCATCCGCATGATGCCGCCAAGCTCGCCGGCAAGCTAAATTTCGCTTGTTCGTGGGTGTTCGGTCAGGTCGGCAAGGCCTTGCTTAAACCTTTGTTCGCTCGACAACATAGCGGCCTACAGAGACCTATGGCCCTGGGTTCCCCGTTGAGATCGGCGCTTAAGGAACTTTCGAAGCTTCTCCCGAACCTCAGGCCGATGCAAATCCCGCTACGACCTTCAGAAGTGCCCGTGTTCGTACTGTACGCGGACGCGTACATTACATTGTCAGGTTCAGTTCGCGCCGCAAATCGTTGGCTCAGAGAAGGGGTTCCGCACTCAGTCTTGAAGGGCAGCACCAACGGTTGGGGAGCGGTTTTCTTTTCGCCAACAGGAGAACGACTAGCTTTCCGGTCAGAAGTTCCGCAGGACGTTCTCGAGAAGACGGCAACATCCAAGGCTTTCATATTTTGGTTGGAGATGCTGGCCCAAGTTCTGTCAATGATCGCGGTTGCCTCTCAAGTTCGCGGACATGTCCTTTGCTTCGTGGACAATTCGGCAGCAGAGCATGCTCTCCAGAAAGGCTTCTCGAAGGACGGCCTGTTCACAAAAGTGCTCGGGTGTTTCGCAAGATTCTTGGCCTCAAAGAGCATCGCTTTGAGTTTTCACCGCGTTCCGTCTGCAGCCAACGCATCCGACGGAGTTTCTCGAGACGATTGGTCGCTAGCTACAACGCTTGGTTGTGTCCGGCAAGAGCTCCAGTTCGCCAAAGCCTACGACTGGCTCCGGCTTCTCCCAGAACTGCCCGAAGACGCTCTCTTCACCGAGTTCGGGAAGTTCGCTGAAGACTTGTGCGCGCAGAGAGTGGAGGAACAGCGCGCGAGAGTGGAGTGAGTCGCGCTGTTCGTACAGAACG